GGTGAATAAATGAAATTGAAAGGCAACATGTTAAAATCCATATAAGAGGTGTTCTTTTAAATGTACGCAGCATGATGAAATTGTGAAATTCACTGCTACAATGTAAGACCCAAGTGGGAAGTTTCACGAAGTCAGAAAGGGATTAAAGGTAGATGTGGTTAATGAGACCATCTAGTGGTACAGTTAATGAGCTGAAGAAAATTCAAGTAATATAAACGTGCCTTCTGAATTGAGGGAGTTGTAAGAAACTTCCACCAAAGGTTTGGGTTATCTTTTATGAGGTTTCCAGCAACAATGTCTAAAACCTCCAGGTCTCCACTTTCAGACCATGTCTAACCCATACACTTTTAATAATATATCTGTGGTGTTGTTCAGAATGGACTCAGTTTAGAGGCAATTTCACTTGTGAAGCTATTTGACCTGAAGGGTACAATAAATTGTATTGAAAAAGACAGTGTTATGACATGACTGCAGACAAGATACCTGGCTAATCAGACCTTTTTCTGATCTGACATAGTAGGAGTTCCTAGTTCCGTTTTAACATGGTCTGGTGTTAATTTTCTGTCTTTCTACATAATTTCTGAATCTAAGCAACTACCTCAGAAAAAGAGGTCACTTTGTTTCAAAATTATCAGTAACAGAAAAGTTCTAAACAGAAAATAATTGGGTTTGGGTCGAAGTATTTTGTTATGCTGTAAACCTGATCCCCCAGCATTTTCTGGATTGTTATCAATTATCATATAATTTCAGGTTGCCCTTAAGAGGAAACAGAAAGGGGTGTAAATTTACCTGGGAATGGATAAGCCACTGAAATAACAATTTAAAAAAAAAAAATCTGTAAGGAAGGATAGGTCAAATCAAAGACACATAATGAGAAATGACAAAAAAAAAGTATGCTGTGTAATTATTTTTTTTTTTATTGCATACACTGTGTGTCTGCATTTGCACACACACCTCTTTGGGTATGTATATACTCACTGTATAGCTTGTGGTGTAGTTGATTATAAAGAATACAAAAGACGTTCTGTTGTAAACTTTAAAGAATATTTAATAACTTTTAAAAAATAAAATGTATATTTTAAATTTTGTTCTTTATATGAATGCACAAAAATGTATCACTGTAGTTGCAGCGACAAAATCCAAAGAACTGAGGAGACCTGCCCACTGTGGTAAGATACCGGTGACAATCTAGGAGAATTCACAATGGAATCCAAACAAAATTTCCCATGGCAAGTCCTGACTTGTTTTCTTACTGTGAATTGTCTAACTTGGTATCTATGAAGATCATTCACACTTAGCAAGAATCCTTGCAGACAAAGTTAATAGAATCTGTTTTTAAAATAAATGCCACAATCAACTGCTGGTTTTTGTTGCTTACCTTTGGTGCCACATTTATAGCACCAGAAAGGACCTAAGGGGTAAGTGATTGGCTTCAACTTTCTCCCTGCTACCAACCTCCTGGTCCATCTGTGAATGGGGGAAGAGGCAGCCAGGAGCCACATGCACTGAAAGATGGAGCCAGTTCTTAAGAAATGAGGGGGTTGGGTGGATTCCCATAGCAGCCATATTGCTGGCGCAAGATAAAATATTTTTACAGCTTCTGTGCAGTTCCTTCCTCTCCATAAATCATACAATGCTGCATTCAAATGATGGTTATTAAATGGAAGAATAGACCTTTACAAGTTTATATTATTTGAGGGGGAGGAACAAAGAAGTATTCATAGAACAGAAACTGGAGTGAATTTCTGTGATTGTGCACTATAAGATGTGGAGTTGAATAAATGTTGTACAAGCAATAAGATTTGGCTGCTACTGACAGTTAGTGTACAGGAAAATAAACCATATTCTATTAAATATATATATATGCATATATATAAGTTGTGAAGATGAAAAGCCAGAATTACATTGTACTGAATCTAAAAGCTAAATCCTGATGTTGCTGAATTCAGTAGGTACAGGCATGCGCCCTGTGCCTTCATATCTTGTTATTTAGCAAATAGAGCAATGAGTATAAATTCCTTCAATCAATATGAATCCTTCAGTGTCTGTGTTGCCTTTGGTTCTGTCTTTAATTTAAATGTATTGAGTCCTCCTTCATGTTTAAAGATAAGAAGTGAAACTAATAGTAAAGACTTTACTAAAAGAGTCAAAACACTAATGGAAGCAATTGGAATGACTTCTGTGTTGCTCTGCAGCTTTTTAAATGGGTATCATGTACTACAGAGTATTTATCAAACCAGTTCAACACGAAATTTTGTGGATAATAATGGTTTTTAACATATTCTGACCTCATCAGCAGAGAAAATATGCAATGCTTTTAAAAAGAAAATACGTAAGTTTGAGGCTTGTTATATGCAGTATGTTCAGAGGTTTGAAAATGGATTGTGCTCGTAATGCTTTAAGCACCATAACGTTTGGCCTGTATAAAGAAAATTAATAGTATCAAATATAGAAAATAGTCCAGTTCAAATTATAAACAAGTTGCAGTAGCAGTTGGCAGTGTAAGGGTAGTGTTTAAAAAAAAAATAAATTATTAGCAGCAATGTGTGGTCTGGGTGTTGTGTTTTTTGTTTGGTTGGGTTTTTTTCTTTTCAGCTGTTAGCGCCTCATGTTTCTGTTGCAGTGACTGGGATTTACAACATGAGTATTGCTTGTACTCCCTATTCATACGTGGTTTTGAAAACTGAGGCAGCTTATCTTGTAAAGATACCTAAATTGTGGTTCCCTCTAATAATTTTCCACAATGTGTGACTTTTCACAGTCTGTTTCTTATTTTGCTTCTTCTGTAGGTTTAGCTGAAGTCTAGCAGTCTTCTTTGAGAGCTCAGCACATAGTATCGGGAAACTCGCAGGATGAGGGTTTGATCTCTCTTTTCCCTACCCCATCAGGCAAATTGATTAAAGTTGCCCTCTGTGGGAGCTGTTGCACAACGGTTTGCTCTTATCAACTGTGCCATCATCAGCCTGCTGTATCTGTGTTAATTTTTAATGGCAGGGATCGCTACAAATAGACTTGTCTACCTTTTATCTTTCTTAAAAATCAATGTTTTATTAATGTATTCATCATTCGGTTATGCTGCTTTTCAGTGGTGGAAACTGAGCTGTCAGTGGGAGCACCTGTGTGTTACAAACTATAAACCACGGCAAGAACTAATGGTACATCTAACCTGCAATCATGTCTGTGTAGGTAAGAAAGGAACAGAGTAGAAGGAAGTTACACCATCTTTTGAAGAGCAGGACTGTTGACAGCTCAGCCTGGGCTCAGGAAGCAGAGAGCATGGAGACTGGTGATTGTAACACCAAGAGTAAGTCTCTTGCTTGGGGTACAGGGTGCCTCTGTGTGGGCTGCTCACTCAGTTTAACCTCTGTCTTGGGCCAAGATGTTAGCATTAAATGTGTTAACATTTGTCAAGGCTTGTTAGCACGGCAGTAAAATCCTTTAGTAGTGGTGAGATTGCTGTGATAGTGAGTGGTTAGGAAGCCACAAAAAAATGCACACAGGTAATACTTTACTTTCAGCTTAGCCTGCACAGCTAAATGCTCCGTGCTACGGGGGCTCATGCACCCTTTATGGATGCACCTTAATGGGGGTAAGATTTTGGAATATACTTGCTCTTTCACACATCAGAGTGTCCTAAGCACTTCCCTGCAAGTTTGGGCCTGAGGGTGAGAAGACTGCAGGAAATCAGCAAAGAGGGAAAAAAAAAACAACCCAGACCTAAGCAGTGAGAGTAGTATTTGTCCATGGTGCAGGCCCAGAAAAGGGTCACTTACGGGCGTTAAGGAGACTGTTCAATAAGCGGTGGGTCAGCAAGTCCAGCTTTACTGGTGGAAATGGCCTTTAAATCAAAGTAAGCAAAATGTCACTCATAGCTGAGACCTGCTGTTTTAAGCTCTAAAGGTACAGGGTAACTTTTTTTTGCCTGAACTCGATGCGT